AATTTCTAAATTTCTAAATTTCCAAATTTCTAAATTTCTAAATTTCTAAATTTTTCAAATCCCTAAATTTCCAAATTTCTATATTGACGAATTCCTAAATTTCCAAATACCCCAATTTCCAAATTTGCAAAGTCCCCATATTCTAAATTCCCAAATCCCCAAATTTAGAATTTAATTAAACACTGTAATAATTCAATAATAATGCAATAATAACTAGGACACCCACCTGTGCAATAGATCGTCTTCCAGTGTCTTCAACGTAATTTTAAACGTATTTTGTTGAGTCGTCAACTCGGCTTTTTTATTTTCTAAGTCGGGTCTTTCTGCTTTTACGACTTCTCCCAGAAGTTGTTCTTCTAAACCATCTCTGGTTACAGTAAAGTTAATGAGAGTTGTTTGAGCTTGTATTTCCGGTTTATAATGAGGATTTGCCAGTTTTGTTTGTAGAATCAGCCGGAAATGTGGATCGTAATCAACTTCCTTGTCCCAAATTTTGATTGCCCTTTAACATTTTCATATACGATTAATCGTTACATGTATGAAGATATTTCATACATGTTGTCTTTCAATTGCTAGTTCAATTTGGAGATCGATTTTGCAATTTTCAATTAGAAAATTTTAGAATAAAATTTTAGATTTCTAAATTTATCAATTTGGAAATTTGAAGGTTCTTTTAATTTCTCAATTTTTGTATATCTAAATTTGTCAATTTCTTTATTTTAAAATTTTCAAATCTAGACACATAAACCTTCAAATTTAAAAATTCCTAAATTTCTAAACTCACAAATTTCCACCCATTCAAATTTACAAATCTCTAAATATTAAACGTACGTTCCTTTCTTGATCAATTCCCTCTTAATAACAGGATCTAAAATAGGATCGATCGATTCCATGATATTTTCGATCAGCACGGTACCCCCGTTCGCGATAGAGATTTCGATTAAGTTCAAGTAATTTGGTTGAGTCAGTCGAAGCACTCGTAAATCTTCTCCGTATCGATTTTTTATCCATTTTATTCCTTGTAACTGTGGGTCTATCATTAATGGCCACCTTGCTGAGTTCATTAGTATCGTTGCATTTTCGGAGGACATTCGATCAGTTGGTAAACCTTCAAATATTTTCGATTGTTTAATTACTTTATTCTAATTCTTCTAATTCTTTTTTGATTCTTTGCAATGTTATATATACGTAAACTTTCACGATTGTGAAAAGAAATATAATGAATTTATCAATTTGCATCTTTCTGTCTAAAAAATTGCTATAAATACTGATTTTACAAATTTGCATAAATGTAGCTAATGTGACTTGCTAGGTTCTCATATGTATGTATATGTATATACATCTTTAGGCACATTATTTATGTTCATATGGAAATATTTTTACATATGTTAAATATGCAAAACTATATCTACATATGCATATGTGGTTATCTACTTACGTATTTTTTTATATGTAAAAAATACTTATATGTTGTATATGTTCATCTGCATATGTATACATATGTGCTTATATGTGTTTATAAGAAATATTTACATACCCACATATGTATATCTACATATGCATTTGTTTATACGAAGGAAGTAATTACAAATTCATATATGTTAATCTGCATATGAACTCCTTTATACGTAAGAAATATTTGCATATGTATGTATAATTATCCATATATGTTTATGTACTTATATGTCAGAAGTATTTACGTATATTGTATATATGTTCATCTACATATGTATATTCATATGTGAAAAGAATTTACTGTATCTCACATACTGAAATGCTTAGCACAAAAACAGTTTATAAATTTCTTAAAAAATGTACATATACGTGGAAGGAAGGTGTGTGTTAATACATATGTATGTTGGAATAAATTCCAAGTAGAGATACTATACATATGCATGTACCTTCATTATTCCATTGCGCGATTTGCGCATCGTCCGACAGTAAACTCAGAATATCCAGATCTTCGGTTCTCGGGATTTTCACTTGTAAGTCGTTGAGGAATGGCATCCATTTTTCATACATCAAATCGTATCTATATTTTCGGGTGAAGCATCCCATATAAGATAAAAATGCTGTTACGACGAGTACGTCGCCTGGTATCATAACCCTCGAACTTCTCAACCTAAATATTTCAATTGTTTCTGTAAAATATATTTTCTACAAAGATGCTGATGATGAAATTTTATGGCCCATTAGAATGAATTATTTTTTGTGTCAATCTACTCAAATTTTCTTGTAAGAAATGAAAGAAGTAAAATTGCATATAAAATTGATCCGAAACTTTCATTTGCAATTGTATTTTTTTATTGGCCGATTCGTAATGATTTTGGTAAATCTCTTTGAGTTGATTATTGAAGAAGATTGTTACTGACGTTTCCACCGTTGCGGTCCATCGAATTTTTTCCGATGCTAAACCATTCACTAGTCTGTTTGCTAAATCAATCGTCAACGCTGTGGCATCAGCTTCGTCCTGACATTTTTGCTTCTCCGCTAAAGCTGCGTTCATTCTTTCTCCTAGGATGTCGAGCATTTTCTGTAGTTCCTGTTGGAAATTTGATGATTTAGGAATTTTGGGATTTGAGTATTTGGGGCTTTGGAAATTTAGAGAAATAGAAATTTAGTGATTTTAAAATTAGTTTGAAAATGTGGAAATTTAGAAATTTAGAATTTTCAAGATATGAAAATTTCCAATCCACAAAATCAGCACAAGTGTCACTAATGAAAATGTACCGAAAGCCTCGTTCTTAAAGATGTCAAGTGATCCATGGCAGCCTTCAGTTCAGCATTAGCTTGTGCTAGTGCAGCTCTCAATGGCTTCACTGTTTCGTTAATATAATGAAACACCATAATATTTTTAACCCAGCTACATAATCCAGCTGCTGCCTGTGATTTGGAATAAATCACTTCTGGATCGAATTCTGTAATAATAATACAAAATCAATTTATCTATCAAATCTTATATTGTTGTTACAAATTTGACTTCTGTCATATATGTATTTATAAAGTCATATTCCTTGTATGAAATTATGTTCTTATATATATTGTATTTATTGTATAATATATTGTTACTTGTTCTTTGTTGTAATTGTTATAATAACGATTCATATGTATTTATATTTCTTTATATATTGTTTTAAAGACAATTATACATCTTTACATATTGTTTAAAAACAATTATATGTCTTTATGTCTTATGTCCTTATATATTATATTTGTTATATCATACATCATTGTGTACTTTGCCATAACTGTTATTATAGCAATTATAGAAATTTAGGATAATAACAATTTAGTTATAATAACAATCATAACAGTTATATTATTATGTACTTCAACAAAATTGTTATAATACAAGATTTGTTCATTCTCAACCTTTATTGTTGATGTAAGGCTGAATAGCTTTAACGACTTCAGGATGAATATTTTCCTTGTCGTAATTTCGAAGTGAAGAGAGGAACTGATCGGCGGAGCCCATCATCGCTTTACATGCTTTCCAACTCCTGTCTTTCGGTATTTTACCTTTCGGGGCGAATAAGACCAGCACTGCTTCTGCCACCATCGCAACTTGTGGCGGTGGTGTGCCAAATGATTTCAGTTCAGTCAAATTGTTCTGTAATGTAACGATTTTACTAAATGGACTATTCACGTTAGAAACTCGTCAAGATGGCGGATCTCGTACTCATTTTGTTCGTACTCATTTGTACATTACAGAAATTATAGAGCTTTTGTTCAAATATGTGGTAACTTGTGTTGAAAGAAAGAATTATAAGCTAGTTCACTTATAGTAATTAATTTATAGCAAAATTTGGAAAATCATAGCAGGATTAGATTATGTTTTTACTGATATTTTTTAAAATTACTTTGTTTAACGTGTCAAGAGCAGCTTCTGCTTGACGAACAGCTGGTTCTGCCTTTGCTAAATCTTCGTCGCAACGTTTCTGTCTTTCTGCCACTGTTTCTTTTATTTCTGCTACTTTTGCTTCTTCCTCCGATACTGTAAGAGATTCTTTCCTTTAGTTCTCATTCTTTTGTGACTTTTCGTTAGGTGCAGCATTCACGAATGTTTAAGATTAGAAATTTTCTAGTTGGGAAGTTTTTTAGATTTAAAAACTTGATGTGGATATTTACAAATTTACAAAATTGCGAGTTTATAATTTACTAAATTTCAAATTTCATTTGTAGAAGTTGTCAGATTTATTCGTTTATTAATTTTGAATTTAGAGGTTCATTTTTCAGATTTAAAAATTATAACATTTTTAATTGAGAAGTTCTCAAATGTACAATTTAGAAGTTTTCCAAATTAGGATCTTGCACACGTACAATGAATTTAGAAATTTATAAACTAAATTTCTAAAAATTGAACGCAACTGGTACGAAGATCCACAGTCACACTTTTCCTCATTCGCACAAGGTTTATATTGCATTTCAATTTACTTTACCAATTGCTTTCTCAGCTTCAGCTTTAGTGTTTTCCGCTCGAACTTCAGCAAGAATTTTATCCGCAATCTCGTTCTTCTTCTTTAATTCAGTTTCTTGAACCGCTAATATGACTCTTAACTCGCTCACCTTTTAATTTAAATCCATTATGTGCATACCATATTTAGCTTACCATATTAATTTAATTTATGTGTTACAATAAATGTAATTAATTCGCTAATTATGTCTGAATAAAAAAAATATTTGTTTTTTTTTTTTCGTAAGGTGCAAAGAGTGCACGTATTCGAAAGCCGTGTAAGCAATACTATGTGACTAATATTTATTTTTATATATTGTTTCACTTTGAAATTACTAGTTCAGGCATCACTAATCTAATCACGTAGCGTAATTAGAAAAACTGATTACGAAAGAATCACCTGTCCAGCGCAGCTCTCCAATTTCTCTAACCCATTTTTCAGTCTTTCTATCATGGCTATCACGTTGTGAGTTCGCTCGACGAGTAACTTTGAATATAAAGAAATTTGTTCCAGAAATGACTTTGGTGTCGCGTAATTGTATCTCTTTTCGCTTTGGAGGTAAAGCGAGGAAATATCGTTGACGCTCGCGTGCGCGTAGGACATGAACAGGGATGCTGACTCTCTTAAATTTTCTGGAAGTTCTTCTAATTCCTATGATTAATCATTGAGATTATTATAAATTAGTGGATAAGATAATTATTCTTATATACTCATAAAATTTATAATTATTTTTGTAAACTTTTAAAATTTATAATTATTCTGATGTTTGTTAGAATTAATAATTGTTATGATGTACTCTTAGAATTTATAATTATTCTGGCATATTTCTAGAATTTATAATTATTCTGATATACTGCCAGAATTTACTGATAGTACATTTTGAACACTTATTATGATATCTGTTAAAATTAATAATTATTATGATGTACTCTTAGAATTTATAATTATTCTGATATACTGCTAGAATTTACCGGTAGAACATTTTAAACCTCGTTTCGCAATAACTAAAGTTTACCTGTAAAAATCTAGAGGAAACGGATATTAAAGCTTCCTGCGGCCAACTCTGGAACCAGTTGATGGAAGTGTTGTTGACGAGAGCTGGAAATTGTCTGGCTCGGGTTCTCAAAGTCGCTCCAACGGGAGAAAAGCACAGAATGCATTTCAATCGACTGCGAACTCGGTCTATAAAGAATTTCCAGCAATTTTCTTTCGTGTCCATCATACCAGTTTGTTTCACCTGCGAAAAAGACAGTATAATTCATATACAGAAAATTGTCTTAGGTCATGTAAAAGTATTACTAAATAGGATTAGGATTTAATTTATTAGAAGTAGACTATCATTGAATGTATCAAAACTTGACTAGGATTGAATTCATCAAAAGTAT